CTTATGCAGACTCGACACGGCGCAAATCACCTACTTCCCGGCAGCCAACTCAACGGGTACAGGTGTTCTTGTGTGCCCCGGTGGCGGATACACTCATGTGTCTATATCTAAAGAGGGATACATACCGGCAACGTTTCTCAACAGTCTGGGCATCGACGCATGGGTTCTCGACTACACTACGGCGGCAAACACGACTGCGCCAATCTACCCAAAGCCTCAGGATGAAGCGCTTGAGGCCTTAGCCTACATCCGCGAGCAGAATCGCACCACTAAGCTGGGCATCTGGGGTTTCTCGGCTGGTGGTCATCTCTCGGCAGTGACGCTTACCAACCCCGAAGCCAGCCTCGACTTTGGAATCCTTGCCTACCCCGTTATCACCCTCGAGGGCAACTACACGCACAAAGGTTCGCGGGATAATCTCATCGGCGCAAATACGACTGCCGAAATGCAGCACAACCTGTCGGCGCAGAACCTCGTCTCCGCGACGACGCCGCCCACGTTTCTGTTCCATACTTTCAACGATGCCACCGTCCCTGTGCAGAACACCTTGCTTTTTGTTGAGGCTATGACAAAATTCAAGAGGCCGACTCAAGTGCTTATCCTTCCGGATGGATCCCATGGACTGGGCTTGGCGTTGGATGATCCCAAGAGGAGCTGGACGCCGGAACTTGCTCGGTTCCTGAAATACTCGATTTGAGTTGGCTGAGAAAAGGGCCCCGTATCTATTCGATTGGGAATGAAATTTGGACGAAGCACTTCAACGCGAACAATGTCAAAAAAGACAGAGATTGTAGATATTGGGAATGGCATAGAAACCCACGTTCGAACTTGCAAATGAATGATCAAGCACAACGTCGAAGGCCACGATTAGGCAGTCCTATAATTGAGGAATTACATCTGTAACAACCCAGTCGACGCGACATCAAAAATCTGCAGCAACTACTCGCAGAGCCAACAGCCAATAAACCTTAAAGGCCAGCTGCGTAGACAAATAAGAGAGGAAGGCAAAAAGTAAATTTGAAAGGGACGAGACTCGAACTCGCGCGGGTTGCCCCACCAGGAAACAGATGTTAAGCTGACCTTAACCTGGCGCCATAACCAACTCGGCCACCCTTCCAAATCAGTTGAAAACTTCCGACTCCACAGCTCCCAAGTCGCGAGGGCACCGGAAACTCGTCGCAGAACGGGGCGAACAGACTTCTTCGTCGTTCAAGTTCCGGATTTTCTTCTGAAATCTCAACATGATGGATATTCTCCAGAAAGACTTGCATACGAACATCGAGTGCGAGGATATTGGAAAGATGTAACGGCAGGCATTTGAAGTAATGCCAGAGTAACTTTGTTCAACAAAGCTCAAGTCTACTGTGTGGTCCAGTTCTCAAATAATTAGATTAATCACTCCAGTGCAGCAATTGCGGCTTGCGTACGTACTTCGCAACACTATGTAAATCTCCCAGGGTGCAGAAGAATTGGTCAACCTTTGGAGCATCTTCGTGGCAAACTGAGGATTTGTTTTGAGCGCGCTGTGATCTGTCATGGAAACAACCAAGCAACGCAACACCGCAGCAAATTCGATCATAGACATATTAAAGCCAAGAGAGGGGCGGTTCCGAGGTCAATGAACATGAAAACTTCGATGTCGATAATTGGCCATGACTTTGACGCAGAGTTCCTGAGACGCTTTCAGGAGGGCGCCGACTGAGCCAAGATCACGGTATGTGGGAGTAGATTACCGACTTGAAGATTTCGGGCTTTGGGGGAGTTTGGACTACGTATCCACCGAACCAAAGTCTGTTGACTCAATATGTTGAATGGTACTGAAGATCCTGCAGTTCGCCTTGGTCTCTTGTCACTGCTGTACAGGGCCATTCATCAGTCCTTGCGTGTGCATATGGCCAAAGCGTTACAACGGAACAGCGGTTGCGGAGGCGACGATCTAATTACCCCTTCAGATTGGAGCCGCAGGGCAGTGAAGGCGGCACATTTTGGGCCGATGGTAACACTCGACACCGGTCGGGGTGGAGAATGACAATTTAGTGACATTTTTTGGTCATGTTCTCAAGACGAATCATAGGGAGCTCCTGAGATATTTCCAATGGTCGCATTTAGGATCTTATCGCCTGTTAACCGAGTGTCCAAACGCGCATATGCCTCTACGTAGGAGCTCTGAGGCCTGAGAGAATGTGGTTGAAAGAAGAGTAAGCTTCGTGCTGCACCTGAACACCGGCTATGCAGTCAGTCACTCCTACTCGTTGCGAGTTCTGCTTGCGTCTGATGTTGTAAAGTGCTTATCCATAATCGTACCTACAGTTGAAGATCCTGAATCAGGTCTTCTTCAGCGGCTCACTGGCGGCGGGTCTGTAGGGCTGTGACAGCTGCCATTCATGACTCGCGAGAGCTTTGTTGCGGAGGCTTCAGGGCAATAAAGTTAGGTCATGTTATGGAAAACCCCCGGAACGCTAACAGTCAATGGACGGGCGGAGCCACAGGGGCAACTGTCCACCGACCAAATCCTGACACATTTCTCGCGCGATAGGCTTCTAGGCAGCTCAATGATAGTCGTTTTGCAGAGAGTGGTGCGAGAGCGCAGTCACCGAGGGTGCCGTGCTGCAGATGTTGATCATGGTCTGAGCGTATGCGAGTACTCAACCATCCGGGGATTTCCTGCCTCTTCATGACGAGGGTTGGCAACACCGGGACGTGGGAGGCTCCGATGCGTATCAAGTCTGACCTTCCTCCAAAGGCAAGATTTTCTCCTGCAGGTTTGGCGCTGCGAGAAATGGCCTCTAGAAACACTCGAACAGGGAGATTTTCTATCGATGACTGGGGAGGACAAAGCCACGAGAGCCCTGCGTGAGTCCATGTGGGCGAACGGGGGATTCAGGACTTGCCGCAGATCATGCAACCTCAGGGGTACGTACGCTGCCTGCCCAAAGACAATTTACGTGATCAGATCGTCGATAGAGACCTGAGAGGTGACCAGCGACGGGGCCCATATGTGGCTGGACGGTGACGTTTGCTTGTCACTATCGTCATTTCCTCTCTTGCAGCTCTTCATCGAACAGCGGAAAAGGAGCTTTCCCACCGCAGACCAACTCCGCTTAACGCTTTGGCCGCTTGGAGGAATTCGAAGGAGGGTACCAGGGCCTGCTGCAGTGACTGCGAGCGAGCATGCAGGGAGAGCTTCAGAGGGAGCCAGGCGAGGAGTGCCTATCCTAGCAACGCTGTGGAACCGAGATGGCCGGGGTTTTTCTGCCCACCATCTTTGATGTCACCAATGGTCGGGTAGGATGAGCTCTAGCGTCACCAACGCCCACTGCTCCCGTGTTCCACTCAGGCTGATTGTGAACTGAGCCGTTCAATACCCGATAGCTACTATGCCTTGTTTTCTTTAGCAGCGGGCTGAATCATGGCTCAGCGAAGGGTTTCATTCCGCTGTCTTGCCCATCTTTTCCCGCGCGCTGAGAGCGGAGGACGTCTTTCTTGCAGCCTCCCAGAAAGCCAAGCCTAGTCTGGTTTAGACAATTAACGAGACCGAGCATTCATCTGAATTGTTGAGTGTGATCTTTGTCCTTCATTCAGGGGAACCGGCAGGCCGAGGAGGCCGAAAAGCTGGTCCTAGGCCTCTTCGATGTGCCGATGAACTCAAAGCTCAATCACATCAGATCATTGTCTCACAAGCCAAGGTTCCCTTAACCTTCGCGCCACGGCACGGCAGCCACACACGGGTGAAAACCATGGATTCGGAATAGGTACTGGAGCGGCGTGCTGGAGAATTCTAAACGTTTTAGGCTGTGTCAAGCCGTCCCGTCACGTCGTGTTGGAAGGTTGGCGGTGGCACGGCGCAGTTCTACCACCTCGCTTACGACCCCAAAACAACCCCAACTTCTCGAGCTTACCCGCCTTCGGCAACATCTGGCCGTTGAGGCGGCGCCATCGCCAACAGTAGCGTCGAGTCCAGCTAGCCGTCATTATTCGGATCTAGTTTACGCTTTACCAGAAGCCGATAAAGTTCAACGCCAACCACCATCTCCAAACAACCCGCGCCTCGGGTCGCGGAGAGGCGAGATGAACTTCATCACACCATCTTCCGTCTGCTCATCTTCCATCCCCTCCCGTCTCTGATCCTTCTGCCGCTCTTCCTATCAGGTCCAAGCCCGGCGTCTCTCTGGAACACATAATGGAACAGGCGAAGAAGGGGGCTAGAGACGCAACACCTCGGCGACGGACGGACATTCTCAACGCCTTCGCGGCCGAGCATTTGGTCTTTGGCCTGCTACTCGAGCCCCATTGGACGGCTTTCTGTCAGACCATGTCCGCCCTCAGTTAAAGCTCCGTGGACTGCTGCAGGTCCCCCCGGGCACTAGACTCGGTGAAGAACCCCCGATTTTGACAAGGTGCAGAGACCGTCCTCCCCAACTGTGGACACGACGCTACGCCTTGCATGTCCCTCGCAGCATGGAAGGGATCGTGCATATGCGTAAGCTGTCCTGTAGCATGTAGGTACATGTGGCTGAATGCACTCTGATGGAGACGATGCCCAGAGGCCCAAAGGCGGACGACCAAGGCTCGCGTAGAGGAGATTGAGCCATCATCACCACATTGAGCTCGTTTCCACATCACCCTGGACGCGGCTTGTTCGTCTGTGCTTATGCATCATGGACCCGTCCATCCCTCCCACGTCGCATGCCGGCCGGGGGTCCTTGGACCCCATGTCCCATCTCATCTATGTCTCCATGTTTGTCGATGGCGTTTGAAAAGAAGGTTCACTCCCTCTCGTTTATCACTGCTCGGCCTCGTCCCTCCATATTCAGCCCTACTATTGCGTCGAAAGCATGTTGCTGCCCGCCCCAGCGCGCGTCAGAGCAACATCGTCCAGGATCCACATATATCAAAGGAGGACGACATATACCGAGACGTCAGCGAAGCGGTGGTTGCTGGCCGTACGGATGACGATAACGATATTAGCTTGAGAAGGTGCATCGTGGTACACAGAAGAAATGGCTTCCGATCAGGAGAGGCAAAACAGCCTTGTCATCACATCATGTTTCTTCACATCGCTCTCAAGTAAGTCTTGTCTCACAACCCATCGCCTTCAGGGAGCAACCTGCTAACCTACAAATCAATAGCCGTAGTAGTAATAGCACGTACATTTGTCCGAACCGTTCTCATTCGAAAACCTGGCCTTGATGACTACTTCATAATACTTGCCCTGGTTGGTGCCCTTCCTAGTCTCTAAGGACTTCAATGCTGACAGCAAAGCCAGGTCTTCACGCTAGGGTACCTCGCGGAGGTATTCGTTGGCAAGGCCAACCACATAGGCTTTGCTTCAAGCCAGCTTTCTTTCGACAACATGACGAACCTCCTCAAGACCACCCTCGCGATTGAAGCCACGTATTACGTGTGCATATCAGCCATCAAAATATCGATTTTGTGCATGTATCTCAGGTTTGGTATGTGGATGGAGACTGTCTTTCGTTGGGAAGCATTAGCTGACTCGTCCTTCAAGCTGTGTCGAGGTCATTCAACATACTGTGCATATGTACCATCGCGTTTCACGCTCTATTCTTCGTAATTTGCATCGGCGTTACACTATCACAATGCCAACCTCTCTCAAAGCAGTGGGATCTAACAGGAACTGTCGACGGGATGTGCATCAACACTACTGCATTCTTCTACTGTACGTCAGTTTCATTTACCTAGCTGTTTCCTTGCTGACATGACAGTTACATCTGGCTTCAACATCCTCACCGATATATGGATCCTCATTCTCCCAATAAAGACCCTCTCCGGTATTCTGCGTCCACGCCGAGAAAAAATCGCCCTCGCCATCATCTTCGGTGTTGGCGCATTCGCCACGATAACATCAATAATCCGACTTCATACCATATACACCTACACCCTTGCCAAAGATCTGTTCCAAGAGAGCATTCTCGTTAATGTCTGGTCCATGCTGGAGATCAACATCGGCATTATCTGCGCCAGCGTCCCCGCTCTCAAGCCCCTTTTCACCCCACGAGCCCTTCGAGACGCTGTCAATCGCAACAAGAAGACAGGATACCAATACCACAGCCAAGATAGATCCGGGTATAACTCGAACAGGTCGAATGACTCGAAGTCGGGAGATCGCGAAAACCAACAAGCTTACGATTTGGAGCGAATCGGAGGAGAGCACACGACCAAGACCGTGATTCAAAGCATGCCCCATTCTCCAGGAAGTGAAAGCGAAGAGAGTATTTGGAGAGGATAAGCCTTCCTCAATTTCTCGTATGACGTATTTGACAATGTGAATATTATGAACCACAGGCCGATGAATCCGCTTCAAAGGCCAAAGAAGAAGAAGACACGAGGTGACGATTATTGAGTAACGCTGTGTATTTCGCATGCCTCCATGGCCATGACCTTTACCGCCCAATATGTGGAGACAGCGCGCCAGGAACCCATAACCTGCCAGAAGTAGTGATCGAGACCAGCCGAATGATGGTGGTGGTCATTTCCTGTAGAAATCTGGCCAGGCAATGCTCTCTCATAGGGGTTTAGATGAGACCCAGCAAGCTTGCGCCAATCAGTCCAACTTTAAAAAGAAATGTCGCCTGCTGATACGTCCGCTCCATCCTCAAATCTTGAATGTACCACTCTCCATCAACCAACTTCCAAGTCTCGTAGTAAAAGCCTCCACCCCGGAGTCCTGCCCACGATCCCAAATGTTTCGAAAACAGCTGATCTTCAAATCCGAACACCGCCTTGACCTGATCGGGAGCTATTTGCTCAAAGTCGCCGAGTCCGATGTTGTGCAGAGTCTCGAGGTAGGAAAAGAAGTTGCCAAACCAAGCCGCGCACGCTCCCGGCGATTCGAACACACACTTTTTAGTTCCCAAAGCCACAGGCTGGCCGTCTGTGCCACAATATACGTATTGTGCCGTCGGAAGACCGATCTCCTTGTCGAACTTGTCCCACTGCTTCGTGTCGGCGTATCTGGCGTAGCGGGCTTTCTGCCGGGAGATTGCGAGAGCAACCTCTGGTGATACGTGTGCCATCTCGGAGAACTGGAGACGGAAAACTGAAGCGAAAATTTGTTTTGAAAGGTGTGATTGGGAGCAATTGAATGTCAAGAAAAAGAAAATTCGGGAAGAAGGCTGGAAATAAGAAAAGGTCGAAGCATCGATGTACCCGAGGAAATGATATGTGAGGGCTGTCAGCAATAACTGGGACTTTTATGGAGTATGGTTACAAAATCGCATGATGTTCAAGGTATTTTACAATTGGCCAAGATGTCGTTGACGATACGAGACCAGGGGTTGACAGAACTTGGCAGCCTGTCAGTGGTGATTTGTCAAACCCCAGGTGGGATTGACGTGTACCGCTTGGGAACCAACATACATGTCCAGCGCATCTGGAGATTCTGTAGCGCCTTTTCTTGGCGTACATACCATTACCGAAGACGCAACCGCTAAGAGAGCAGGACGTGGTTTTCTGTGTCACCATCAGAGTGGCGGATGGAGAGTATTACCGCGAGGCTCACAGAATTTGACTTTGACCGCATCAATGAGAATGAGGCACATGCTGCACGACACCCAAGTTCAGTCCTGTGACAATAGTAGAGGTGAAGGGGCTTGGACTTTATTGGGAGCTCTCGAATGGGAATTCGAGAGGGTCTGGAGTCATATGATGTGCGTTTTTTCAAGCTCTGTCTACACCCGCATGGGAACGCAAACATGACGAAACTAGCCCGCAGCATCCAACGTTGTAAAACTCCATTTCATGTCCTACATCCAGCCGGTTTTCTGGATGCCAGCCGTTATGCCACTCGCCCGTCCAAGCGAGCCATCTGTGGCTCAAGAAGTCGCGCCGCTTTGAGCAGTTGGCGATACCGACACGCCGAGCATGTCGGCCCATCCGCCGAAAGGTAGCTGATTGAGCAGAGATAAGCTTCTTTAGACAACGTGATGCATAACGGGAAGTATTTGATGAGGTGCAACCCCGCTATCGGATCTCACCACTTTCGGAGCTCTGAACCCCGCGCCCAAGTGCTCCTTGGTGGCGGGGATATTCCGGGGGTGGCTGAATCCTGGCCAAGATGGCTGCCGCCATTGGTGGCAATTGGAACTTTGGTCGTCTACGTGCCATCGAGAACGCAAATCCATCCACTCGCTGAAGGATATCAAATTGCTCATGACGCGTTCTCCAGAGACTGAGTTGTGATCAGGCTTCCTGGGCATAGCGACCCGCAAGCGATGCTGATAGCTGCTCAATGGTAGCTATTACAGACAACTTCCAAGCCTCATGTGCAGTCACTGCCTCAGTTGGTTGAAGGTTTCTTCCATGGGACAAAACGGCATTGTTCCAAGGCTAACATTATGGTATTGTGAATAAAACACGCGAATCCTCCTATCTTGTGTATCTTCATGCGGAAGGTAGGAGTTTCCCACATTCCTTGTCTGAAGTGGCTGCACGATTTGGTTCGTCTTTTTCCACAAATCGGTGCCTCCCGGCGGGTTTATTTCCCACGTGGCTATCGCCGCAACTACGAACACCAGGCACATCGGCATAAGCTTTCAAGCTTCTTTATTAGGTGTGTCTAGTTCGGATCTGTGGGGTAGAGCTGCAAACAGGCCGGTGGTGCCCCCCTGCGTCAAGCTAGGGAAAACAGATATGATATCGACACCGAATGGGAGAGAGCATGGCCCCGAATCACAAGCTGTTTCCAGACAAGCTCATCTAAGCCCTGACCGATGTTCTTCCACTGGTGGAAATCGAAACGGCGAAACAATTTCCTTCAGTCAGTGATCGTGAGGCTGAAGATACCGAAAGACCCTGACTGTCCCTAGGGGGATCAATCTACACACTTCGTGAATGAAGTTGAAATAAAGAGTCGTCATGAAACTATAAGTACGGTGATATATCCCAGCACCAGCTAAGATCGACAAGCTTTCCCCCCAGATCCTCACAGCCAAGACTTCCACGACCTTGTCCTTGGACCTTTTGCCAAGATGCAGCAATACTACATCCTTGCCCTCCTCCCAGCAGTCTTGGGCTGCCTGAACGCCGACACCAACTCGTGTGCCAGCTTCATCAAGTCCCAGTCAGCCACCGCCTCTGCCTTCTGCGCCACCTTCACCAAGAGCACCGTCACCGCCACCACCGGCCTCCCCGCCTGGGCTACCAACTGCTCCAACAAGCCGTCCCAGATCTCTGCAGAATGCACCTGCAACTACAGCGGTGCTGGCGGCAGCTCGCCGACGACCACGCTCAAGACCACCACGACCGCTGGGAGCGGTGGTGCTATCACTACACCCGCTGGTGTGACGACGACTTTGCCTGCTTCCAAGGGCGCTACGTCCACCAGCAAGGCCATCACCGTCTCGGCTGGGCAGACTTACGATGGTGGGATGAAGAAATTTGACAGAAGCCGTAAGACTATTCATCTTTAGACAGAATGGGAGGATATACTGACTTTTTCCAGCCCGTGTCTGCGAGGAGCAAACTGAGACCGGTGAGGCCGATGCCATGTTTGTCCTAGAGGCCGGAGCTACACTTGCCAACGTCATCATTGGACCTGACCAAGCTGAGGGTGTCCACTGCAAGGGAACCTGGTAAGTGATCATCAGAGATCGTGGCGCTTGGCCTCTTACTAACACTCGACAGTACCCTGTAAGCCTTTGACGATATCGTCCTTCACTTTTGATATTTCAACTGACCAAGTATTAGTACCAACGTTTGGTGGTCTGATGTTTGTGAAGATGCTCTGTGAGTAACGATGTATGCCAGACAGGGAGTCTCTGATACTGACATGTTTCAGCACCCTCAAGCAGTCCAGCGGAACCTCCTACGTCATCGGCGGCGGTGCCTTCAAGGCTTCCGACAAGATCGTCCAATTCAACGGCTTCGGAACCGTCAGCATTTCCAAGTTCTACGCCAACGACTATGGCAAGGTTGTCCGAAGCTGCGGTAACTGCAGCGGAAACGGCGGTGCCCGTCACATCATCATGGACAACGTGATTGCTGTCGACGGCGGCGTGCTCTGCGGAATCAACACCAACTACGGCGACACCTGCGTTGTGACCAACTCTTGCCAGGATGACAATAAGATCTGCGACAGATACACGGGCAACAACTCCGGTGCTGAGCCTCCCAAGATTGGTTCGGGACCTGATGGCACATACTGCAAGGCTACTGGCTTTACTACCGCCTGTTAAGAGGATGGTAGGAAGACACTGATGGTCTTGGTACAAGGGGAAGTTTTGACGAGGCTTCGGGCCAATCAAGAGGTCGGCTCTCATTCTTATTCAGCACTCTTCACTGCAAATATTTGCGCTTTGTAAATAACATTCAAATACCGACATGAGTTACACGTGCACAATTCCTGATGGCGTGCATGAGTTGTATCTCGAAAGCCCCGGCAAATGGCATTCAAAAGTCGGGATTATAAATGTGATCGACCTGCCCTCAAATACTTTTCGGCCTGTTTCAAGTCAGTATTGAACGTGATTATGAGTTCGAATTGGCGAGCTTGGTGTTACCTCAGCAATCGCATCTGTTCCTTGGGCCCATTTCAAGAACGGGCCTGAGCTAAACTCCGCATTCATGTCGGGTTTAGTGTCTTTGAGAGATTTGACCTGCCATTTCCCGGATCTAGGGTTCAGCTTCTTTGATCGACTCGTGAACAGGTTTGTGTTGTGGCTCGCCCAAGCCTTGATGCGCTCACATCTGGCTTTCCGTATCTCTTGCCAGAAGGACGTGATCGTCTTGACGTTTGCGCTAGGATCAGACGCTTGAGAAATGAGATATTCCAGCACGCCAATGTCTTCGACGATGAGAGAGAAGCCTTGAGCCGCGCTTGGTTGCATAGCATGCTGGAAGAGATTCAGCGTTCATGGGGCCACAAGGCGTTTGTTGACGACTACTTACTGCAGAGTCACCCAACAATAGGACCCTTCCCTTTATGCTAGTCCATCGAGGCAGGTCGGGGAGCTCAGCGAGCCTCCATCTATCGCAAGACTTGGCTACATCGAGCGCAGTCCGAATTTCGGGACATGCTCCCTTGAACATGTCTCGAACGTATTCGATATCCCCCTTTTCATCCCACAGCCCTCGCTGATCAGTGCTTCCCTTGACTCCAAACAATGCGGCATATGAACCAGATGTAATGTTGTATCTGCTCGTGACATGAACCAGGCCACCATCACTCATGTAGATGTTGAGGTACGACTGGTCAATCAACGGCGCCAGACCCGGGTGATTTTGCATCTCTTCCTTTGTGAGACTCACACCATAGAGTGTCACGTCGGTGATAATAGGATCGATCGGCTGGCCGGTCTCGCGAAGAATTTGATCGCGGATAACTGATCTGATTCCGTCCGCAGCTAACACCAAGTCTGCTTCTAGGCGCTTCCCGTTGCCGAGGGTAACGTAGGCTGCCTGAGTGCCGTCTTCGACTTTCATGACCGGTGCGTTAAACTCAATGACAGCACCAGCGTCTTTCGCCTTTTGGTAGAATATTTCGATGAGCACACTTCGACTCGTGCCCCAGTCTGGGTATTCGGAAATGTCCGTCGCGATGGCTCGAGTCGCCACCTCCCCGGTTGCCAGATTGCGGAAGACATTGGCTGGTGTATCGGCTGAAACGCTTCTCAAATCCTCGGCAAGCCCCCAGCTATGGAGGATCTTGGAAGCTCCTGGCCGTATGTTAAGAGCACCTCCTGCGGGACTGAGGTCAGGCCGCTGTTCGAAGACTCGAACGTGGTGTCCTTTCCGCGCAAACCCAAAGGCAGCACACAAGCCACCCAGGCCGGCTCCGACGATGATGATTTTCATGGCGACCTGGGGAGGAAAGAGCAGCACCCTCTTCACGCGCGTTGGAATTCTCTTCGGTTCAGATGAGAGCTTCTCAGAAGCATGAAGTCCGACTTGTGCTGACGACGCAGGGGCCTCTGAAGCGACATCCAATGCTTGATGTCAGCGGATGTCGCGGGGAAGGACTAGCGCCAAGAATAGTGCCGACCATGTCAAACAAGGTTACAATTTGCCGGTTTTACCACGGGTACAACGCCCTTCGCGTACCCTTGTCTACCCTGCTCAAATTGGGAGTTCGTGAAAGATGGAAGTCGCCAGAGTTGATGCGTTTGCGCCGGCCAGCATGCTTATTTCTTACTCTCGCAGGAATCGCAGTGCAGCTTCAGTATTGCTTTGATGAGCTCTGAACTTCGTGCGGGCAAGATTAAAGGCTTCATGACGTCTACAATTTTAACCCCTGTCGCAGCGGATAGGGGAGATAAGCCCACGTTGTATCATTAGCAAAAGATATGATCAAGGGTCATCTTCAAGAATGTCTCACATCCGCCGACTAGACACGGGGCCGGTACGGCGGCCGGGGTGGGTCCGACATGCCGATCGGGCGGCACTCTCGGTCTCGAGAGATGGTCTTGTTCCATCACCCCAACAAATCCGCAGTAGGCTGAAAATATCCAGAAAATTCAAGTCGAGTATACTAAGCAAGCCGTGTGATTTACAAGGCATAGTAAGCCAAGTTCAATGCTAAGCTAGACGTCACCTAAGCCGTTCTGGGCTCGATAGATGACTGGGTCTTACGGGGACCGCTTCATTCTCAGAATGAAAACCCGTGTGATTAACTTTTGACCGAATCCACAGCTTTCCAACGCCCTGTGCTCCCTGTGCTCCCTACCTTGACAGATTGTTGCATTATTGGAGTGATCGGGGTGAACCGGAAACTAACCGTGACGCGACTGATAACCACGACAGCAAGGTCCACCGCTCTTTGATCCACAATGACAAAGCCGGTGCCGGCGGCTTTGTGTTTCTCCCGCCAAAAACGTAAGCCGACGCTTTTCATTGCGGTTTCATCGGTTTTCAGGCCACACCTTTTCTCCCTTGCAAAGCCGACATCGAATTACACTGCAAAAAAAACCACCATTCGGGAAATGCGTTCCAGCTTATCCTGCGAATTTTGCCGGTAAGTCCGCGTCGCCGCTCGGAGAGCCGTTTTCTCTTTTCCCCCTTTCGAGTCGCTTATCGGAATATGGTACCATCAATCGGAGGCTGACGTCGCATTCTGCAAAGGCGGTCCAAGATCAAATGCGTCAACGCCGGAAGTCCGCCGTGTCGCAAGTGCGAGAAGTCGGGGCGGACCGACTGCCAATTGACGCGGCCGCAGGTTAATGCCACCGGCCGCGCTTCCAAGAGGGCCCGGAGAGACACGGGCGAAGCTTTTGATGCGTCCCTTCGGAGTTCGGTCGAGCAGGATGGCGAGTCGCAGCAAGTACATCTGTCGGCGCCTCAATCTAGGGGGCCGGCGACGCCCAGTCAGGGGTCGGTTGGCCCGGAGTATCCTCATGGACATCGAAGGGACGAAATGGATCGACATTTGCAGAGTATACCGAAAGACCTAGTGTTTACTGCACTCGAAGCGTTCTGGCGTAAATTTCCTGAGCTGAGGGTCATTCATCCGTCGTCGTTCATGCAAGACTATGGGTCAAACTGTTCAAGGGAGAGCAAGGCACTGCTCGCGACAGTACTCGCCATGACCAAGACGCAGAACCCAGACTCCGACCGCCTGCGGACGCAGATATTGTATCCTAGTGAACGCTATGCTGTGTACGCCTCTGAAATCCTAGCGGCCTGCATACTGCAATCGCCAGACGTCAAGGTCATCCAGGCCTTGCTCATACTGACACTCTTTGAATGGGGTACCAGGGACTTCCACAAGGCTTGGATGCATTGCGGTAGGTCATGTTCTAGTGATTAAAAGGGACAACTATCTGATAGGATGCAGGAATTGCGATCCGCATGATGCAATTGCTACACAGCTCCCGTGTCGCGCCCTTTCCCCTCGAAATCCCGCATCGCACCGAACCCAATGACTTGACAATGGCAATCGAGACCCGGACATTCTGGGCATGTTTTGTCATGGATTGTATGGTTAGCTCTGGGACCTACAATCCGCGCGTGCTACCGAAGCAAGAAATGGCCAAGCTCAATGTCCCTCGACCCCCAACATCCACCGAGTTCGCTCTCGGTTCCGGCTCGGTGGTTCGGTCGGAGGACAGTGACAGTATCTTGACACCAGGAGGCAGCAAGACGTCCGTGTATCTTGATCTGGATAATAGCTTCGGAGTAATGGCTGATGGGTTCGACATCTACTCTGACTGCATGGCCTTTGTCTTTAACGATGGACGAAGAGCACTAGGCATGTGCTTGCCGGAGAACTGTCCGTGGGTGCCTACTTCACCAGTCGCGAGCTGGAGAAGGCGGTTATCAGAGTGGAGGGCGAAACAGCACCATCGGCTACATTATCCCGAGAACAGTGTCGTTGCTCATGCCACGTTGGGATACGGAGAGTCCTTCGTATACCTGAACCTACTCTATTACCAAAGGTAAGTAGTCTCTTTACAGACCCAATAAATTGCTAATGATTCATCACGTAGCATCATGATGTTGCATAGAGAATATTTCCCCTTTCTTCCAGCACTCGAGGATCCGCCGAAAGGTCCCATTGACCCACCTCTCCTGGAGGACGAAGCACCTCCCGGCTACTGGGACGAAAGTGCCCGCGAGTTCTTTGGCGCCGCACAGCATCTAGGCAGCATTCTCCAAGAAGCCTCAGACTGTGGAGTGGCAGTGATGACCCCGTTTGCTGGATTTTGCGCATTCTCATCGTGCTTCATCAACCTTTATGGTTTCACCTTCCCTCGCATCACCCTGGGCTATGCACCAAGAGCCGAGGAGCTGATGAACGCCGGGATTGAGTACTTAAAAAGCTTCAGCGAAGTCTGGGATTTAGGCGATGGCTGGGTGAGTAATAGTCATGGTATCGCCGAGGGAGATCCGCATGCTAATGTGCCCCAGCTCAAAACAATTCAAAGCGGATCATTGATGTACAAAAGGGTGATATCCAACAACCACAGATACCGTGGCTTGTCGCGGTTCAACTTCAACGTCCTCCATCAATCCGTCCACGAGTTCAGAGTCGTGGATAGATCGGCACAGCACTTGGAAGAGATCAATAATGCCGAGAGAAACTCGATGGGCATGGCAGAGGGCGATAACTCGAGCGATAAGGAACAGCAGAACCCTCCTGCGTTCAGCGCTCAGGCATTGATAGACCCGGATGGCAATATTGATGATCAGGGGTTGTGGCCGAATTGGTGGTCGATGCTGGAGGAAGTGAATGCTGCTGAGATCTTCACGCTGACTTAGGATGGAGTAATATCTAATAATATTCAGACAGAAACAAAATTCAAAACGCTAAAAATCATGATCATGGGGCGCGAGCCCCTCGCCGTCTTCTCATCACCAAGTCGTCTCCGCCTCAATCTCCTCAACAGCCTCCCGGAAGACGCTGCAGATTTCCCTCAACTGCTCTTCTGTCGTTGTGAACGGTGGCGCCAGCAAGACATGGTCTCCCCTCTTTCCATCAACAGTTCCTGCACCAGGATACAGAGCGACACCCTTCTCGAAAGCTCTTTCTTGAATGCGCAACCCGAAGCGCTGCTTGAGGTCGAAGGTCTCCTTAGTCTCCCGGTCCTTGACGAACTCCACCGCCCAAAACAGGCCGCGGCCGCGAATGTTGCCGACGGACTTGCAGTTCTTGAGCTCAGTGCGCAACAAGTTCTCCAGAAGCTTGCCCATCTGAGCGCACCTGTCGACAAGATTCTCCCTCTTCAGGATCTTCTGCACTGCCAAAGCAGCAGCGCACGCAATAGGATGAGCCTGGTATGTGTGTCCGTGGTTGAAAGCCTGAGAGCCCTGGCGCAGGGCGGCCACGACCTTCTCGTGCATGAGCACGCCGGCGATGGGGCCGTAGCCTCCTCCGAGACCTTTGGCGATGGTGGTGATGTCTGGCACGACACCCTCCTGCTCGAAGGCGAAGAAGGTACCTGTCCTGCCGGTGCCGCACATGACTTCGTCAAGAATCAGCAGAGCGCCGTGCTTGTCACAAATTTCCCGGACGCCCTTGAGGTATCCCTTTGGAGGTGCCACGCATCCTGCCGTAGCACCGACCATCGTCTCGGCAACGAAACCAATGACGTTCTCTGGCCCAACCCGTTGGAACTCGGCCTCGATCTCTGCGAGAAGGCGGGCAGTGAAGTCTGCCTCCGTCTCGTCTTCTCTCTGGTACTGGTAGGCGTAGGCGGGTGAGACGTACGACACGTGAGGGTAGCAGAAGCCCTGGTACGGGACCTTTCGCGCTCCGACCGTTGAAATCGACATTGACGCCATAGTGTTGCCGTGGTACGCCTGACGTCTCGCGATGAAGTGCAGTCTCTGAGGTTGGCCCTTTTCAAAATGGTATTGCCGCGCAAGCTTCAGCGCAGACTCGACCGCCTCGCTTCCGCTACCGACGAAGAAGGCCTTTTCGAGGCGGTGGGGGTTTCCTTCGAGGATCAGGTTCGCTAGCTCCTCCGCCGGTTGTGTGGTGTACGCTTGCGTGTGGACGTAGCTGACTTTCCGCGCTTGGTCGGCGATGGCTTGGATGACTTCCTCGTTTCCGTGGCCGATCAAGGCGACGGCGGCGCCACCGCAGGCATCGATGACAGACTTGCCGTTGGCGAGGTTCAAGTAGACACCGCTTGCCGACTCGACCATGGAAGGATGTTGGACGAGGGAGCGATGCATAAGTCTGCCCTCAGTGGACTTGGACTTGGTGCTTAGTGGCTCTTGGCCGCCATTGGCTGGCGTTGTGAACAGCTCGTCGTTTCGTGCGGGCGCCATTTTTGGATTGGTCAAAAAGAAAGCTGAAGCTGCAACCAGGTTTTCTTAAGAAACTTCCCAATAAGGGCTTGATTTATAGACGAAGTCAACCCGCTTTATAGATCGTGAGATGGGAAGCAATAATGAGTCAAAGATGTACTCCACGCCTTGCGAAGCAGCGAAAGCCGATGCAGCGGAACCGACTAGATGGATCTTCAACCCCGGCGCGGCGTGGACCCGGGCGACCACCCGGAGAACCCGTCATAATCTTCGGCGTAAATGCACAAAAGTCCCATAAAACTACGACTCGTACGAATTGGTATGTTGACGTGGGTTGAGAACCCGGAGCGAAGAAAAAAAATCGCGTGTCGGTTCTGCAACCATTCCCGAGATCCGAAAGCCGACTTACAACATACGATGCCTGCAAACCCCTTATCAGTTGCAGCAGATCCTGTGAAAAAGGCCTATCTCTATGGGAACAATGCCTTGCTTTCAATCTTTCAAGTTTCTCTGAAGGCAAGTTATTCAAGATGGATGTCGACAAGAGGAACGAAGCCTTCGTCTCCCGCGATGGTGCGGCCGTCACCGGACAAGATGGCAACGAGACAGACAACTCCAGCACTATCCCGCCGCCCATGACAACTCCGTACCCCGAGCCGACGTTCGATGACCGAAAGGCATGGATCACCGTCGTGGCGTCTTCGTTGACGATGTTTGTCTACCTGGGAAACGTCTACTCCTGGGGCATTATGCAAGTCAGACTCGTCGAGACCACATCATCAAGTCTGACAACCTTGACGTTTGTTGGTTCCCTCGCGACATCGTTCATGATCTGCTTCAGCATCTTGTCCGACAAGATTGTATGCAGGATAGGATATAGGTTGTCGGCATTGATCGGAGGGTTCTTCATGGGTCTTGGCGAAGTCCTTGCGAGCTTCCTGACACACCATGTTATCGCTCTCTTCTTCCTACACGGGCTCGTCTTTGGCCTCGGAGGTGGACTGTGCATCTTTGTAAGCTTGAATTCCCGCGTTAGTGTTTGGTTCAATGATGTGTGCTAACCTCGGTGGTTGTGCTGCAGTCTGTTTCCACCGCACCGATGAGCCTATTCAAGAAGCACAAGGCACTGGCCATGGGCTTTGTCTTTGGCGGAGGAAGCCTTGGATCTGCAATTATGAGTGTCGTCACCAATTATCTGGTCAAGGATCTGGATGTCGCATGGACCTTCCGCATCCTCGGCTTCATTCTGTGGGGAGTGTCGATGCCAGCTTCCTACTTCCTCCCGTCGAGAAAGAGACTAGGCAACAAGAGTTCGCGCCAGCTGCAATGGTATGTATTGATCTTGTATATACTGAAAGCCTTCCTTTCATGACTCTGACCGTGTCAGGTATCGCTTCAGACAACCCCGTTTTCTCTTGCTCGTCGGTGGCACTGTCCTCGCTTGCTTCCCTCTTTTCATCCCGCCTTACTTCATCCCTATCTTCTCCAGATCGATGGGATACTCCAAGGAGATTGGAGTCATCATCCTTGCTGCTTGGAACTTGGCGTCTACTCTCGGGCGTGTCGTCGCCGGCTGGGTGGCTGACTCGGTGCTGGGCCCCGTTGAGAGCCTCGCAATCTGCATGCTCTTCATGGCCCTCAGCTCGCTGGTCGTCTGGCCCTTGTCGTCATCGATCGGCATCTTTTCCATCTACCTCATCTTCAATGGCATTGGTTGCGGCGCGTTCTTCAGTTTGACTCCCATTGCGGTCAGTTCCACCTTCGGTGGAGAGAACACGCTAAGCATTATACCTGTCGTATGGACAACTTGGTTCTGTGGTTTCTTCTTTGTAAGTTTGTTCGTGTTCCTCCGCATAACGATTTACTTACATCTTTCAGGGAACCCCTATTGCCTCCGGTCTCTACTCATTGTCTGGTCGCTCAGACGGCCTCGAGGCGTTTCGTCCAGCTGCGTACTACGCCGGAGCAATGGCGCTGGCTGGATTTGTCTGCGTTCTGGGCATTCGATTTACTCGGTCTAAACAGGCCCCCGAGGAGAAAGTTTGAGACCATTGGGCTGGAAAATGATATTGAACGCCTATGGAAAGAGGAAAATACCCGTAGCTGACCTATTATCTGACGGGATATCATGAATAATGAAGATAGTTAGAATGACACGCAATAGACATTAGAGGATTTAGACTAAGCTCCGGGGTAGACGGAGTAGACCCATTCATGCTGGTCACCCATCACCACAAATAATTGAAAGATTGGAAGAACATGATTGGTGCTTCACCTGAGAAGAAAATTACAAACTATTCGCACCCGATGAAACATTATACCAACTCACCTCCTTGTATCTTCTCTTTCTGAAAGGTTGCCCAGTTCAGTATGACTTTGCAGGCGGTCATTTCCCCTAATTTCCGAATTAGCAACACCGGTGATCAGTTTCCCCCACGCGACGCCACAGATTATGTTGACGATCAGTATACCTAAAGCACAAAACCATCATTTGGGTAAGAGCTTACTTATTGGCGGGACTTTGCGTGATGTCTGGCACCATGACAGTGCGGGGAAGTCCCGGCACCCAACTGGTGGGTTTTGATATGTTTCCTCCTGCTGATGCGACGTCACACAGCGATACATTTAATTCGATACTCCAGAACGCCCTGACTCCTCCTTAAATCCAGCCAAGGCTTGGCATCTTCTTTTGGCACATCCGCAGAAGATCGGAAGCCTGTGTTCAGAACGCTCAAGAGTGAACAGACAAACATTTTCAACATCTAAGAAGCGGCCTCAGCTTTCGTCTCAAGCTTGCAGGCAAGAATATTAGGCTAAATGCAACCACCAGATGATCATTCATGTAAATGATAAGCTTATAATGACGGCATGCCGGCGACAAGCTCTTCCGTATAGCGTTCTCCAAGGTCCGAAGTCCGACGTATTCTGAATATTTAGGAATTGTGTACCTCATCTAGGTCGGAACTGAGTATCTAACCATCCATTCCACTTTTTGACTCGTCAAACCAGCATTGAAGTCATCATGAGACTGTCTACTCCACTCCTAGTTGTCTTTCAAGTTACTACTGCAGCCTCCAGCGCTGTCTATGAGAGACAGACTGGTTGCACCGCTTCCGCTCCGGGCTTTGCATCTCTCAACGGTGGCACAACCGGGGGTGCTGGCGGTACAACCGTAACTGTCACCACCCAAGCTGACCTTGAGAAGTACGCCAGTGCATCTGGCAAGTACGTGATCAAAGTCAGTGGGCGCATCACAGTCACGCCATACGGGAAGGAGATCAAAGTCTCCAGCGACAAGACCGTCATTGGTGTCGGTACCTCTGGTGAGCTCTACCAGGGCGGCCTGGGCCTGAACAGCGCGAAAAACGTCATCATCAGGAACCTCAAGATCGGCAACACCAACCTCGGCGACGGCGTCGAGAACGACCGCGATGGTGTCCAGGTCGACACTGTGAGCAACATCTGGATCGACCACTGCCTCTTCGAGAACGGCGGCGACGGCTTGATGGACCTCCGCAAAGACACCACCTACTTCACCGTCTCCAACAACATCTTCCGCAACCACGACAAGACCTTCGGAATCGGCTGGACTGACAACGTTACGGCCCGAGGTACCATCAATCACAACTGGTTCGATAGCACCAACCAGCGGAACCCGAGCGCCGACAACCTTGCTCAAGTTCATTTATACAATAACTACCTGTACGGCATCACTTCTTACGGCCACTATGCTCGCGGCAGCAGCAATGCTAAGGTGGAGAATGTGTTTTTCGAAAACACTAAGAACCCCTTGACCAAGGACTCCGGGGCTGTGCTTAACGCTTCTGGAAACACTTACAAGAGCTGCACTGGTACTATTGCCTCCAACTCTGGAACTGGATTCACTCCTGGCTACTCTTACACGCTCACTGCTACTGCTGATGTTCCTGCCTATGTGAAGGCCAATGCGGGTCCGAAGGCTTCCGTTTGCACTTGAGGAAGATTCATGTAAAGGCTACTAGTTTGTTCCTAGGTATGATGTGTGATGGCAGGGACTCGTGCGCCTGCTTGGATGTCAAGCAAGGACGGGACTAGGATCATTTGAAATCAACGTTCATTTCGTTTCGTCAAGCTCAATCATTGACCTGCTTGCTTAAATACTCAACGTTTAAATCCGCTGCTTCGCGAAACTACCGTCATATGTCTCTGCTGAGCTAGCCTGTTTACACTTTCGTCTCGAGCCGTACCCTACATTGATTTTGGGTGCTTACTCTCCTGCCACTTCACCACAATACGTACGACAGTGTCACTAGCACTCCACTGGGACGCTGAGACATTTCTGCTTCAGGCCAAAAGAATTCCTCGGCTCGCTTCTCGTGTGCGCTCCCTTGCTTTCATTCCAAGCGCAGGGACGGGGATCGCACAATGGAAATTTCAGTGAAATGGAGTCTTTGTATGACCCGAGAGCTCAAATTGGCAATAGAGTCGCAGGTTAGATTGACTTTTGTCACGCAGCCCCTCTGAATACCTCACATGGCCACTGACGAAGCTGTGCCCCGCAATTGCGACGTCGATTTTAAGTTAAGCAGGATACGGGTAGCTCCTCGATGTATTTTGTGGACGGGATAACTGCCTCAAGGTCCGACTTAGGGTGTCCTGCGGTTGCGGGGAGCTGGAATATCCGGGCATGGGGGATAGCGGCATATGACGGAGAATTTCAGTCCACCTGTTTGCTTCCCTCCGAACCCCGCATCACATTGATTGGGGTGTCATACCTTTTGAAAAAGAAAAGCATCGTTCCAGCCGTACTTGTTCATTACTACAGGGAAGTCTAGTGTTTGAAGAGGTGCAGCCAAGCTTCCAGCAATCTAGATGTACTCCTGCAATCAAGCCTTTGCCATGGCGGTGTGGCAAGGCGCTTGTTGCGACTTAAAAGAGGGCATCGCGACGGGTCTTCAAAGCATTCCTAGAAATTCTTAACGCGATCCCACATCACATCTATCATTCAAGTAACATGATGAAGTTCCTTGGCATTCTTTCTTCATTGGTGGTGCTGGCTGGCAATGTGCTCGCCGCCTCCCGCACATCACCACCTTCGGGTTCAGTCGTTGTTGCCAAGTCTGGTGGCCAGTACACCTCTGTGAGTATCAGAAATTCACATTATTTGGACATATTTGGCATCTCTTAGGACCTAGTTTCTGACTCGATTTTACTACAGCTCCAAGCTGCCATCAACTCCATCTCAACCAGCTCGACTGCCACAAGCACCATCTTCATCCAGCCCGGCACTTACTCTGGTCAAGTTTCCATCCCCAGCTTGAAGGGAAAACTCGTGGTCTACGCCTATACCACCAATGATCAGGATTACACCAAGAACCAGGTGATTTTGACCAACACCTTGTCTGCTGCCGACGCTGGAAGCAACGATCTCTCAGCCACGCTTCGCGTCGCGACCAACTACTTCAGCCTCTACAACGTCAACGTCATCAACGGCTACGGAAAGGGCTCTCAAGCCCTGGCCATCTCCGCCAACGGCCAGTACCAGGGTTACTACGGCTGCAGCTTCGTCGGCTACCAGGACACCGTCTACACCAACAAGCCTCACCAGGTCTACAAAAACAGCTACATCGAGGGCGCAACTGACTTTATCTTCGGCAACGATGGTAATGCATGGTTCGAGAAGTGCACTATCGCGATTAACGGGGCCGGCTACATCACCGCCAGCGGTCGCGACAGCGCTGATTCCTACTGGTACGTCATCAACAAGGCCACGATCGCCGCTAAGTCGGGCGCTGGTGTCTCCAAGGAGTCGACCGTTCTCGGTCGTCCGTGGAGGGAGTACGCCCGCGTCGTCGTCCAGAACTCGCAACTCAGCGACGTCGTAAAGCCGGTCGGATGGTCTGCTTGGGGAACAAACCCGACCGCGAATGTCTACTACGCCGAATATGGTAACACTGGAACTGGGGCTAGCGGAACTCGGGTCAGTTGGGCGAAGAAGCTTTCCAGCGCCGTCACCATCGACTCGGTTCTTCCCGGATACACATCGTGGGTGGACATGACATACTGGAACTCGTCTTAATTTGCACATGCGTGTGAATGCTTCGCACATTCAGTGGGATTTCCTATGACTAGGTCGGCGGGACGATACGGATTTTTGACTAGCCACTGTAATAGCACTGAGGGATTCATAAGCTGCACTAATCCTGCAGTAAGAGCCCCGGTGCGTCATAGTTAACATCCAATTGGTAGACGCTGAACAGAAACGACCAATAATCTCCACTAGCGTGCATAAATGTGCCCTCATTCCGCAGATTTCAGTCTACCCGGGGGCGTTAGTCAGCCACGTCAAGCGCAAAACTCCCCCTACTCACGTAGGGGGCAAAAAAACGGGGTTTCCACGTAAAAAAGGGGGTTTCTAGCTAGTTGTATAAAAGTCGCGTTTTTCTCATTTTACTACTAAAAAATGTCTTTTTTGAGACTACGCTATAACCTAAAATTACACTTTTTTTAATTACTTTTTTTAATTTTAGTTACTAGGATACCTCACTAAAGTAATACTAATTTAATACCTATTAAATAAGCTATATAAGTATTATATACTATATAATATTACGCTTTCTACTCTAATTACTCTAATAAACCTCTATCTATAATATTATTAATTTAAGCTATTACTAAGGGCTATAAAATATCCTATATAGTAGTGAGGAAGTATCTAAAAGCTCTTTAAACTAGTTATAATATCTCTATACTACTTAAAGAAAATAGCTAGTTAAAGTTATTAATAGAGGTTAAAGACTTAGCTTTAGTAATATTTATTATATAGTTTAATACTACTTATTAGCACAGGTATAAGCGTATTTAGGGGCGTAGTATATACGCCTATATAGTATAGGGTTATAGATAGGCTTATATTATAATAAAAGGTGATAATCCTAAGCATTTATAGGTATTTAATTATATAGATAATAATGAGGGAATTAATATATTATAATAACTCTAGTTGTTATTACTTATAGGTTTTCTCCTCTAGCAGGGAAAAGTAAGGGGAAAGATAATCTAAAATATAACCTACTAAACTACTAATTATATAA